TGCCAGTTTAATCCTTTAATACTTTTTTGACATGTTGTTCTTGTCATAGTAAAATACTCATGTTATGTTTTCAGAAAATGACATTGAAAAGCCTCCAGAGAATTTTAAAGGGGAGGTCAGTCTGGAAGAGTTCTGGGAGTCACTGTCCAAAGAGATGACCTGTCGAGGATTTGTTGCGAGTACATGCATATAGTGCATATTACACTATATAGTAAACTTTTGGAAAGAATGCATCTTCGAATTTTTTTTTTCTTCTTCTGCTGTTTTAGATGGCGAACACAATCCATTTGCAGTACCGCCAAGTTATCACTTCTGGGCTCCTTGGATTGGCAAAAACACACGTCACTCAGACACTGTGCTAAACACAGAGTTTGAGAAAGTCCACACTTCATCAGAGATTTTACAAATGACAGTTACAGAGGAAAGACTCGGAGAAGAACTTTTCAAACAGAAGGTTTGCTTTATTAGTAGAACAACACTTTCAATGGCTTTGAATAATTGCATTCAAATGAACATTTGTGAAATAATATTGGTTTTGATAGGATGACGTGATTCGAACTTTATGCATTGAATGTGATGTGGACTCCACTGGATCTCGCAGCGGTCTCCTTCTTAGATTGTACAATGAATTGAAATCCAAGCAAACATATGACAAAATCTATTCAAAAATCTGGAGTGCCTCTGGTGAGTTTAATTTTTACTCTACTGTTTTAACTCTATTCCTGTAAATGTGTGGTATTGTGGAATTAATTAGTGCTTCTAACATGAAAGTTTATTTGCCAAATCAAAGTCAGTAGGTGTGAACAACATGCAGAGATGTTGACCTTTTAATGACAAGGCAAACCTAGTTAAAAAATATTATTTCCCCCAAAAATATTTATGAATTAGTAATTCATAGCTTTTGTAAAAGCACTTTTTACTTTCTAAAGAATGCATGTCCAAAAGTTTGGGCCAGAACGATTTTTGTTTTGTTTTTGATTTTGAAAGTCTCTTATTCTCACTCTCACAGACTGCATTAATTTGATTATAAATTCAATAAAACACTAATATTGTGAAATATTACAATAAAAAAAACTTTTCTGTTTAAATGCACTTTATAATGTAATTTATTCCTGTGACGGCAAAGCTGAATTGGTTCTCAAGAAACATTTCTTATTATTAATGTTAAAAACAGTTGTCGCTTAATATTTTTGTGAAAACTGTAATTTGTATTTCTTTTTTTTTTTTCAGGATTCTTTTATTAATAGTACAAAATAGAAATCTATTGTAGCCTTATACAATGTTTCATCACTTTTGATCAATTTAGTGCATATTAAATATAAAATATTTTAAAGAAAAATCATACTCCAAGCTTAAGTGTATTTTAAAATATTTCAAAAGTATTTTTAATACAAGATTTAGATTTAAATATTAGAAGAAATTTCCATTTCCTTTTTCAGTTTGTCATTAACCTATTAAATTGTTGTTGTTTTTTCTTCTCTCTTTTGTGTTGTTCTGTCTTTTATTAGGAGGCTGGGGAGTCATTATGTGCCCCTGTGGAATTGTTTACAGCCTAAAATTCAATCTCCGAGCTGAGAGCCCTCAAGATTTTGCAGATTTGCTATTATCATGGCATCATATGCCTAATGTCATAATTTATGACTTTGCACAGGCTCTTGCAAAACACACCAATCTAAGGGCACCAGAAAAGTTACCCATCTCTCCATTTGAAGGCTGCCTGATGGAACCCACTCAAGCTAACAAAGAACTGGCCAGATGTGGACAGCTGAAAGTGTCTCTGCCCTGGCTGGATGAAAAAGCCAGAGGGACAGATCCTCACGGACACCCAGTGACGGGTTCAGCTGACCATTACGTACTTTGTGACCGTTCTCATGAAGGCAGCACAGATGGAGATGTTCTGAGGAAGCTCACCCTCGTGCCTCAGCTGGCTGACAGAGCCAGTAGTCAGATTTCAGAGCAACTGTTTGCTCAAATGAAGAAGAACGACTACTTTTTGAACATGTCTTTGCCGTCAACACATCTGTTTCAAATGAGGAACATCATTCACCACTATAATGAAAACCAGGCCAACAAACTGAGCACCAGATCAACCAAGAGTCTTGGATCCAACTTGCTGACTGAAGCGTTGTTGGGTAAATTTTAGATTTATGTAATATTAAGCAACATCTGAAATGTAGTGGAAAGGCATTGGCAAAATTACATTAAAATAAAATTGGGCTTGTAACTGTAGATTTGTTTGTTGTAATAGAATCCTAAACCAGAAGCACAGATGATGTGATGAAGGACACAATCCTGACATCTTTGATGGTCCTGAGCAGCAGTGGTAAGTGTTTTTATTTTTAAGTGGAATCACAAAGGCCTTTATTTATCCTGAGACTGGTTATAAGGGATTTTTCCATGATTATCCTAATGTTGTGTTCAAACACCTTCTAATAGAGTCCCAAGTCATGGACAATCAGTAGTGGTACATAGACTTTAGTTTTTTTTTTGGTTTTTTTTTTTTATGTCCTAATAGTGCATATGTGCCATATGAATCTTAACAAAAAATATGAATGTTTTTTTTCTCTCTCTCTCTTTAAGCTTGACTGGGCCTTCAGCACCAACAACCTATTGGAATTGTAAACTATATTCTGAAATCATTATTCTTTACCTTTTTTTAATTCATTTGACAATTAATTGAAATGTTAATGACTGCGTTACCTGCAGTTAAAACCGATTGTTTTTTGTTTTTTTTTATAAAATGTTTGAATTTACTACTAAGGCTGACAAATTGCATTTAAAGATGGCATTGTTCTTCCTAGAGACTGGATTATTTTTGTCATTAGTATATAATGTAGCATTGCATCTGAAATCATTATTCTTTACCTTTTTTTAATTCATTTGACAATTAATTGAAATGTTAATGACTGCGTTACCTGCAGTTAAAACCGATTGTTTTTTGTTTTTTTTTATAAAATGTTTGAATTTACTACTAAGGCTGACAAATTGCATTTAAAGATGCCATTGTTCTTCCTAGAGACTGGATTATTTTTGTCATTAGTATATAATGTAGCATTGCATTTTTTGTCTGCAAATTGCTTGTTTTTTATATTTAGAATTATTTTCAATTCAAAACTGATCAAACTGGAACTGCCTCCTGATGAGTTTTTGGTCACTTTCTGCCAGAGTGTTAATATAGTTTAAATAAGTTGTTTGAGTACTTCAGTTGTGATGCTTAAAATTTTTAGTTTTATTTAAAGCAGTACTGAAATTGATATATTTTATTAGAATTTATGGAATGTTTATTTTGTATTGTATATAATTAAACGCACATGACTACAAATACACTTTGACTTTTATAACTACTGTTTGCAACATCATGAACGAGAAGAGTATTATATTGTATTATTTTACACACTTTTTTTTTTACCTTTTTAAAAGAAAAGTTGCATTTTTGTTTAGTAATATCTGTTTTATGTACACAAACATAGAGTTGGTTTATATATAGCTGTCCTGAACCTTAACCCTTACATTTCAACTTAAGAAATTTATATTGAAATAATTTTTGCATTTTATTCCGTTCTTTTTAAAAGATATATTTTAGATTTTTTTTTTTTAAGTAAAGTTCAATTTCTTTGTATATTATGAAACTTTATGTAAAAATAAAAATGTCCCACATTTTCATGTCACAATGGAAAAAGTGTATGTTTTAGCCCATTGGCTGAGACTGATTTTAACTACATGGATAGGTCCCATCATTTTGAGTTAAATGTGTTCAAAAGTCTGTAACTTTATGGAATGTCACTTCCAAACACCTGTTTTCTGCAATTAAGCACACTTTTTTTGGGGTGTTATTCGATAACATTTAGTTTTTATGTGTACCACTGTTCAGAACTGGGCTAGCTAACCATGTGCTGATTAGCATCTTTGAGCTAGGTTCAAAAGCATCTAAAATTGTCACTACTGAAACAGTCCCGACCGAAACATTTGGTGAAGTTTCGGTTGTGACATCGTTTTTTTTTTTTGAGTGTTATTCCATAAAATTGAGTTTTTATGTGCATACAACTGTGCTAGGTAAGCATGTGCTGATTAGCATCTTTGAGCTGGGCCAAAAAGCATCTAAAATTGTCACTACCGTAACAGTCACGACCGAAACGGTAGTGACAAAAGGGAACACATAATTCTTTATTTGGGGGAAATAAACAAATTTTTACTACGTTTCAGTTAGTATGCGAGTTAAAATTCTGTAATGAGATGTGGTTGCTACCAAGACATTACTGTCACAACCGAAAATGTGCAGTCACAACCAAAACATGGTATGTTTTGTCTAAAATCAAGAATACTGAATTATCGACTAAGATGTTATGATAGTTTTTTGTTCAGTGTTTATTCAAACTAATGAATCCTTAACTTTGAAATCCGTATGATCAACTTTTTGCCTTTTACAAAGAAAAATTGGATTCAAAATGCAACAAATCTCATAAATTACACTTGAAATGTTGTTAAAATTGTAATTGTTATTGATGTATCTCTGAAAACTTTTTAATAAAAAAGCAAAGTCTTAATAGGTCAATGTAACCCTTCTTATTAAATTATATATTACTGTGTTTTGGTAGTGACAAATTTGGGGAGAGGACAAATATTCCAAAACTTTCTGAAAATTCAGTATGAGACTTAACTGCACAATTAGAAATGTGTGCCTTGGATATTATACAGTTTGTATACATACGGAATGTATGGAAAAAGACATTTTTTTCAAGATGTTTCCAACTCTGACTTTGCACTAATTCTGTAGAATGGCCCAGACACACACGGTAGAAATAAATAAGGCAAATTGTTGTAAGCAAAAATTAATTACACCCCAGAACGTTAGGTGGCGCAAATATAGTAATTTCCCGTTGGCTCCGCCTGGAGGCTGCTGCTGCTGCTGCTGATGCTGGGCGGTGGCATGAACAAATGTCTCCGCCTGGACTTTGGGTTGATGCTGGTGAACTGGACAGCGGAGTTTGTACACAATAGCGATGGCAGAAATACCCCTTTATCTATCCAGCGTCAGTATAACTGTCACACATGATATGGACTCTGACAAGGTAAATTATATATTTGACTTAATTTAAATCATGCGTAACATTACACGTCTGAATAACTCGGATATATGTTTACATTTATTTTGAAAACCCAATAAATTATAATGAAAGTTTGCACAGTTTTATTGTGCTGTTATCACTTTGGATTTAATTTAAGCATTCACATTGTGCCAGGAATTAAACAATGGTCATCTCTAACATAATAACGCTATACTAAACGTCTTAGTTTTTAATATACGAATTGTTTGTTACATATTTACAACCTAAACCGGTCAGATTATAGCTAAAGGTCCAGTTTCACCAAAAGTTACTATATTACATTTTTTTTAATTGTTTTGGCGCAATTTTCACAAGCAATTGGTACATTTTCAAAACTCTTAGTACTAATGTCACAACAGATCATCAAAAGTGCACTTTTTTCAAACGTAGCATATTTTCAATTGTGTTGGTACTGTACACAATCACAAAATATCCTTTTCACTACACAAAATAAGTGTTTAATCTATATAAATGTTTCATTCACAGCAACTGCCTTTAATAAAACTATTACTATCAAACTTTTCATTTGCATGACTTCTCATTCAGTTTAATACATTTGTCTATTATTGATCTAACTCATCTTAATGGTTAATCAGTGAATCATTTGGTGCATCTATATATAAATTCAATAGATATATAGTTTATATAGAATGTGATTGCATTTTCGGAATAACCTTTGCAATGAATTATTTTTACACTAAAAGTGATTTATCTAAGATGATAACCACTATTTTGTAAGGGTGTATGTGTGTGGTTCAGTTAAACCCTATTGTATGGGGACAAAATTTCCCCACAAAGATGGCAATATCTGAAATCATTGTCCTTTTTTGGGTCCAATGAGAAAAAAAATTATTTTCGTAAGGGTATTTAGGAGTAGGGTTAGTGTAGGGGGAGACGGTATAAAACCCATTACTCCTATGTCACCATAATGATAGGAAAACCTGTGTGTGTGTGTGTGTGTGTGTGTACCTACTTACTGTAAACATATTCTGGGGACAAATTGGTTCCCAGAAGTAAGCAAAACTTGACAAAATCACCTAAAATCTTCATTTGAGGATGTCCTCATTTGTAAAACCGTGTGTTTTGCTATTTGTGAACATACAGCAGGACACAAGGGAGAGGAACTGATCAGAGATTGATCAGAGATGTGTCAGAAGAAGGGAGACAGATGCAGGGCTCGCAAAATTTCAAAATCCCTGGTAGCCATTCGGGCAGGTACTCTTCAGACTTTGGTAGCCCGAAAATTAATTTAACTAGCCCAAATAAAAAATACCTTTTTTTAAATATAGAAAATCAGAAATAAATTTAAGGCAATTTATGACCCATTTTAAGAGCTGCACAAGTAAAATGAACACAGTATGAGTGGGGTTGGACAATGTCTGTGGTAACATACAGTATTGAGCCATAAAATTACATGATTTACAGTTCAGATACAGGTTTTCACAAAAACAAAACTCTTATAGCATTTCAGCCTTCAGACCATTTTTTATGAAAAGGGATAAATCAAGCATATATATTATTATGTCAATAATTTCTCATTTACAACTCTATGTGTTTGCTGCGTAAAACATGGGTTGATATTTGCATTGATCGGACCATAAACGGCAAGAAAGGCTGATTGGAAATGCAAATTCATTCTCTGCCACGAGGTGGCGTTTTGGGAGCACTGAAATATTGCGGTTTCCCCGGTAACGGCTGCACACAAAGCAGCTCGGCGCTCATAAACGCTGCTTTATCAGGAATTATAGATCAAATGAAATTAAAATGCCAATGACACGTTTCTGAGGACAGCAGTGGCGTAACTTAGTAATGACGGGCCCCAGTGCAGGCTATTATGACGGGCCCCCTGGTGCACGGTTATGAAGCACATACAAACACACAGCGCTCGTGTCTAGAAGGGAACCCATATATGCAAATTTGTAACAAAAAATGCTCCAAACGTTTTTCTAAATTAACTTTATTAAAAATGAAACGCAATATAATCACTTTAACATTAGGCTACATACACTCTCGAGGAGACCCCACATAAATGACAAAAAAAAAAAAGAATTTGCGCTGCTTGCGAGGGTGTTTCTATACAACGGCTGAGGGAGTGACGGCAAATTTGACGTTAATCTAAATATTTGTCTCCTTTTTTGGAAAGTCGTAGAAATGACAAATAACAAATAAACCAAGACTATTCATTCTGTGTTATATTTTTATTTACGGGTGGAGCGTGCGCTGCGGGGCCCCCCCGCGGCACGGGCCCCAGTGCGGCTGCACTGCCTGCACTGTCTGTAGTTACGCCACTGGAGGACAGTCTGTTGCCTTCAGATACATTCAAATAAAAACCGCGTTTTGACTTGAAATGTGCAGCTTGTATTTCTTCAATGACATCATTGCCTTTTGAAGTTTAATCCAGCTGTATCACAACTCTTGTCTTTCCGTCCCCAACTGTCTGTAAGACCTCTTGAAATTATAAATAAGAAATTTCTTATACCATATAACGTATTTAAAACTTTTTATGACCTGAGATGGCATCAAATACAGCATTTTACATTACATTATGCCATGTGATAATGTATATTGAAGCATTACCATGGTAAAGACTGCACATTACTATAACTCACCCTTCATCTGAAAAATTCAGCTATAGATTCAGATATGGCACAGTGAGGACATTTAGGGGAGCGCGGGGCACAAAGTTACGCGGGGTTAGTTGTAACACACATGGTTTGAATATTTCCACACATGCTAGCATAACAAAATTTACAGTATTAGTTACCATATCAACATTATATAGAAAAAAAAGTGTGCCAAAATTCAAAAAATCTTTTGAAGATATCAATGAACATTTATTTTACCACAGTAAAATTAAAATTCTGGCTTAAGTCAATTTTTATTCTCTGTTTTTAATAATCATTTAAAATGAGACAAATTCCAGTTGCGCAGATGGGGTATGTTGTAACACTGCGTTACAATGTGCTATTCTATGACATTAGCGATGTAATTTACACTATTTACTTTAATGAATTTTAATGAGAAACAGGTGATTAAAGACCTACAGTCAATGTTTAATGTTTAGAAATTATTATTTCAAGACATGTAAAGCATTTTAGCTCGTGTATATGGGCCGTCCCAAGCATGATTGCAATGTGTTCATTGTCAAACTCCAAAATCTGATATTTTTCATTCTTAAAAAACGCCATTATTTTATTTGAAAAAAAATATTATTTTATTTTATTAACAAAATATTTTGGTTTGTCTTGTATATTTTTTTCATTCGATCAGATAACATTTTAAGCTGTTATATGGTCATGTTACAACGTGCCCCTCAGATGTTACAATGTATCCCACCTATGGGGCATGTTGTCACATTTCACTTCCATTTTTTTGAGGGTAAATAAAGAAAAACGTACACTGTAATCATGAAACAAAGCAACATATTTGTACTAGACAAGTGTAAAATTACTGTGGATAAAAAAATTATATTCTGAACCCCATGTGGATTTACACAAACTGAGAAAGTCAAAAAGTGTTATTTTGTAATCCTCTTCCATACTGCATTGAAAGTAAACTCTGTTCTAGCACAAACCCTTATGACCATGTTATACCTTCATCACACCTTTTGATAACACACTGGATAAATACTTTTACAAACATTATTGATTTTATGTGAGATATGCAAGTTAGGTAATGTAAGTGTATTTTCTAACATGACAGTTATTGCCTGTATTACTCTAATTATTTCAGCAACAAAGGTGATTTGAAAAATGAATCTGGCATTGTTTGCTCTTGAATTAACTGTTTGCTGAATTGAAAGATCATACTGTTGTGTTTTGGTGATTAATTCAAATGTTCTCAATACATATCACAATGATCTTGTTTTGAAACAATGATTATGTGGAATGAAAATATGCGCAACTACAATGAAATCATGAGATCAGGTTTTGAAATAATGACTAGTCGTGTTAAAAGTGTGATCAGTTGAAAGTTTTGTACTAAGAGTTTTGAAAATGTACACCTTGTGAAAATAGTACGAAACCAATTTTTTTTTTAAACTGCACTACAGGGGAAAGATAACGTGGTAATAGACATTAAATAAAGAATTGAAAATGGCAGAATGGTTTGAAGCAATACCGATTTTTTTAAAGCAGACCCATATACATTTATTTTGATTTCAGACGCAATCCTTACTGTGGTATTGTGGAAAACAACTATTGTTCATTTGTTTTTGTTTTTTTAAGGGCACTAGGCCAGTTTTCTTCCCTCATTCCAGTTTAAAAGCCAATCATATTGTGCATAACCAACTTATTTGTAATATATCTGCTGTGTGCCTGTGGACAGCTCTCTGGAAAAGAGAAGGAATATGAGTGTGTGGAGCTTGGTGATCTGGACAGAAAAGAGAAGACCCCACGCCGCATTATTCATTTCTCCAGCGGGGAGACCATGGAAGAATACAGCACAGATGAGGAGGAGGAAGACAAAACACAGAACTCAAAGAAAGACCTTCTGTCCTCCATAGACACAGTATGTGTGTTTGAACAAATGCCCTGAAGGATCCTTCAGTTCACCCATTCTGACATCATTTACTCACCATCATGTCATTCCAAACCTGTAATGTAGGTTTTTTTCTATACAACGAAAAACAATCAGAATAAGAGTTGAATAGAACTTTTATTTTTTTCTCTTTTTTTAAAAAAGTCCAAGCTGGCTTGGGGCCCATATGTCTGGTTTCAGATGTGGAGAGCAGCTACATCCACTATATCCGGTAAGTCTGATTCAAAACCGAAAACTGGATCTTTAAACTAATATGACAAACTGAACTATGGCATTTGAGTCATTTTGTAAAGTGTTCCAGATTAAAAAGGTATATGCTGAAGTATTTTGTTTGCACGTTAAAGCCAATATCTATCACGTTTGCCTTCTTTGCTGATATATTTTGTTACAGAATTTGTTGCACAAAAAGTTGTAAATTAAACAAATACATGTACATAACTACAAGATGTTACAAATCCTTATTTCTGAGCAAGCATACTTTATAAAAAAGTGCATAACCAACCATATCAGGGTAAAAAAAAAAAAACTTTTAGATTTTGTTTCCAAATACATTTGAGTGTCAGTTTTAAATTGTGCAAACATTTGCATTTTTTTCAAACCTTCCACACTGACTGAATCAAATCATTTCTTTTTGAACCCTGCCTTATACACAGAGCCATTGTCATGTTAGAATAGAAAAGGGTCCCGTCCAAACTGTTGCCATAGAGTTAGAAGCACACAATTCCCTAGAATATCATTATATGCTTAAACTTTAAGATTTGTAGTCACGGAAATTACTAAAGTAGTCAAATCTGCCTATGGAATGTCCCCATTTAGATAGCTAAGTAAACGTGTGTGTGTGTGTGTGCGTGCGTGCGTGCGTGCGTGCGTGTGTGTATTCTTTCTTTTTTTTTTATTTAGTACATTTATATCACTATACAAATACATTATACCATACAAAAATAATTCGATTTTATTTTTAATCACCTATCCACAATATTTTATCCCCACCTTAACATCACTCCAGCGTCTTAGCTTTTCTTTTTGGAGAAAACTGTTAAAAATCATATTCTGTGCACAGGCATAGTGACAGAAATGTGCATAATCATGCCTTGGGATTATTATAATTTTTTTTTTTTTCATATTTATGTTTGTGTCTGTGCAATTAGCAGTAAAATCCTCCTCAGGCCATTGTGGATGATGTTAAACGATTATGACATGTCAGTTTTGATGTTTTATTCAAATATGCAAAACAGCATTTTCATTTTAAATATATGATTATTTTTCTGTTCTATCTAGTTCAAGCACCACATCATGATATTGTCTTTAATCATTTGAAATCCTGTGACTCCACAGAGATTCACTAAGCACCTTAAAAAGCCAGAATTAAAAAAAAAAAAAGTACTGTATTGATGAATACATACACAAACATCCATCTGCTTATTATGCAACTTATAAATATTCCCATTCAAAATCTCGTAACTATGTCAAATTCTGCCTGTCCCATCTTTCAGCTTGTGACTACCTCGGTGAGCGAATGGCATCGCTTTTTGGCATCACCTCAGCTAAATACCAGTATGCCATAGATGAATACAGCCGGTCAAAGAGGGAGGTACGGCAGTCCTTTATATCAGTATAATCGGAATATCTAAGAATCAGAATTGTCATATTATAATGTTTTTGTTGTTTGTTTTTTCACAGAAGGAAGAGAGAGGTGAAGATACACGGCTCAAAAAGCCAGAATTAAAAAAAAAAAAAGTACTGTATTGATGAATACATACACAAACATCATCAAGAATTAAAGCAAAAATGTATAAGTGCTTATTATGCAACTTATAAATATTCCCATTCAAAATCTCATAACTATTTTTTTTTTATGTTTTTTTTTTTTTACCATTTTGTGTTTAACATTAATAAAATACTACAGTATTATATCGTATGTGACTTAAAAGTTTTAGTGTTTAGTAGTGTTATTTTAGTATTACTGAGATACTATGGGCCCAATTTACTAAACAGGGTAAATTAGTGGGAGAGCCAATCATAAAAAAATGAAAGTGGAAAGTTCTGCAGGTGATCGACTGATGAGTTTTTAATATTATATTTTATTTCAGTTTATATTTATTTCAAGTAACAAAAATGTTGGTTTAGTTAACTATAAGAATATTTTAAGTACATTTAAATCACTATACTTTTGTGTTATACTACACTGGAATTACATTACAGAAAACTAGTTAAGCTGCTGAGAGAGTGACTCTGACATCTTTTTCTTGATTTTTTCCTTTTTTGGGGCTGTCATGGAAATGCAATTGTGGGTTTTTTGTTTTTTTTGCTACTGAAGCAGTGGGAACATTACAAAACATTATTTGCAATGGTCTCCCTTTCATACAGTAGTTTCCCTTACTAGTTTCCTTTTGAGCTGTTTTTCTGACTTTTTATACGTTTATAAATATTATATTTTATTATAACAGCTTCCCCAACCTTGAAAATCACTAAGTGCTTGAAATTGCTGGGAAAGTGCTTGAATTTCACTCTTCACGCTCTCTGAAGCCTGTCGGTTGGATGGGTTTGTATGTGTTATGTGGGCGGAGCTGTGCTCTCTCACTAATACATACGGTTTTGTCTTAGGCAACAAAGGTCTCAATGTCTGTGTGGTACTGAAGGCCAGTTGAGCATGTCCTCAGCGTAACCCTGCTCATCTGAGTAAGTCTGCTTTCAATCAGACAGCATTCATTATGACATGATCCAAATTAGCGGAACTTTATCAGGTTCATTTACAGTATATTGAGGCACATGAGGCATGTAATTTAGCAATAAAATGGCTAATAATGAAGGGACGATTTTTAATACATTTTTCTATTTTTATTTGGTCCCACAACCTTTATTTATGAAATGTAAATCTCTTGTTGTCTCATGCTATATTACCACAAAATCTTGGATTCAGTCTTTTTTCTTTTTTTTCAATAAGCACAAGTTTTGTATTTCTTTTTGGAACTGACTGGGCTGTTTTTGAGTGAAATATATATTATTTGTGGATAATTTTGTCAACATTCAGTCAAAAACTGTGCTAAACTAAAGAAAACAATTTTATAAAGAGCTGAATCCAATATTTGGTAATACTATGGAATAACAAGAAATATATATATATATATATATTTTTTTTTTTTTTTTTTTTTTGGAGGCCTGTAATTTTTCTTAGTTAAGTACAGAGGATAAATTCTGAATTTGGGTTACCAGACTTGGCCTTCATGTCACTTAACTTCATTACATCCTGTGAAGTCTAAAATGTATCCTGTTATTTTATGACTATTTTATGATTTTAATTGAAAATCATCCCATTCAAGCCTCCTTCAACATTACAGCTCCCACCAAATGTTGCAATTTGTTGTTGAAATGTATCAATTGCAAAAGGAAAATAGTGTGAATTATGAGTTCCCTCTCGAGCTTTCACGAGACATCACGGAGATATTTCTCCACCCCTTTAATAAGGTAAAAAAATATATATTGGCCTTTATAAAGGTAAATGACATCCTGTGGTAAATATTAAAAACATGCAGATTTAAGTATGTAAAAGCTGACAGAAAACTGATGAAAATATTGCTTCAGAATAAATTGTTTACACCACCAAAAATCTCGGTGATGCGACCGAGGGAATATTTTTGTGGGAGTATTTTGTATGGGATATTGTCTGCTGATATGAAAAGTTCACTGTATATCGTAATAACAAATATAATTTTTGACAGCGATGATATTTTGTTTTATTTTTACATTTAAACGCGTTAAATATTACATATACGTATGTAATATAATGTGTATTTCCATCACAGGCTTGGTCTTAAATTTCACATAAGGTGGTATTAAAAAGGTCTTAAAAAGTCTTAAATTTAACTTGTTCATATCTGTAGACACCCTGTCTCATCCTAAAAAACAATTCAAGCCGGTTTCCTCCAATGGTGCAGTTTGTTGTTTCAATGCAAATAAAAAGAACAACTGTGTGAATTATGAGTTCTACTAACAACCTAAAAATAGGTCGTTTTTCTTACCTGAAACTGAAAATCATCCCAAAGATTTAGGCTGATTTCCACTTCAAATTCAAATGTTGCAGTTTGATGTTTTAATACAAAAAACAAACAAACAGTGTTAATCATGAGTTCTATTAACAACCTACAATTGGTTCTTCTTCCTAGTTTATCTTACCTGAAATTGGAAATCATGCGAGCCGATTTCAGCCTTTATTCAAATGTTGCAGTTTGTTGATTCAATAATAATAATAAAAAAACAATAGTGTTAATTAGTACTAACAACCCAAAATTGGTTCTTCTTCCTACCTTAAAAATGAAAATCATCCCAAGAAATATTCAAGCCGATTTCCTCCAGTGTTGCAGTTTGTTGTCCAATACAAAAAATAACAATAGTGTTAAGTATAAGTTCTGTTAACAACCTAAAAATAGGTTGTTTTTCTTACCTGAAATATAAAATCATCCCAAAGATTCAGGCTGGTTTCCACCTTCATTCAAATGTTGCAGTTTGATGTTTCAATACAAATATAAAGAACAATAGAGTTAATTAGTGTTCTATTAACAACCTAAAATTGGTATTTCTTCCCACCTTAAAACTGAAAATCATCCCAAGATCGATTCAAGCCGGTTTCCTCCAATGGTGCGGTTTGTTGTTTCAATACAAATAAAATGAACAACTGTGTTAATTATGAGTTCCGTTAACAACCTAAAAATAGGTCGTTTTTCTTACCTGAAATGGAAAATTATCCCATGAAAGATTCAGAACAGTTTCCTCCAATGGTGCAGTTTGTACAAATAAAAAGAACAACTGTGTTAATTATGAGTTCTACTAACAATCAAAAAATAGGTAGTTTTTCTTACCTGAAATTGAAAATCATCCCATGAAAGATTCAGGCCGATTTCCAGCCTCCACATTCTTGCAAAGGTCACGTGTATAATATTGTTAATTTTGAATCATATTAAAGTGTACAACCTACAAACATTTCAAAATCAGCATTGCTGGTTTTATTAAGTCTACAACATACAACAGTTTCTAACATTAAAAAAATTAAAGTGCATTTTCACAATATCTCACCTTGTTGGCACAAACATTCATATCTTATATGTAAGATGTGGATTTTCCTCATGATGTGTCTGTGGCTACAAGACATATGGAGTGGGCCAAAAACCTGCACTTTTCAACAAACTGAGAAAAGACGATCATGATATAATCGAAAATGCAATGTTTTCAAGAGACAACAGAGGGCGGCAGAAAGCGCCAATTTGTTGTCATGACAACCAGATTCTTTTCAGCTGTTTGGCTGAAAGACGTTCTACAATGAGAGTATTAGGAAATAAACTTGAAATGGCAAAGAAACCGATTTCTTTTTCTGCTAACGATACCAGATACGACAGTAGACACTGAGGATATTTAATGGGGCAAATATATATTTCTGTTTAAATATGTTCCTCAAAAGAGCCAGCAGATGGCAATGTTAACCGTGTGGTGTCAGAAAGAGCCATAAATCTTAGTACAGGCAGATAGCACTGTCCCAGATGTACACATGCTTTTCTTTTTACAAATGTCCACTGGACATCTTAGCAAAACATTAAACTTTTAATGAAACGTGATCATTTTAAATCATTTTATTTAAATTATTATATAATTTAGCAATTCAAATGTCATTCTTTCTCATACAAACCTAGCATGCCTTTAAAAGACTAGAAATATAGCACACAAGTTTTATGAAATACCTTAATGATGACCTTTATGGTCATTTTGGAGCTCAGCGGAGCTACATATCCTTTAACTTTCATTTAATGAGAAAGCATAACCAGTACAAAAAAAGCAATAGTCATAAGGTTTTGGAATGACATGATGCATAATAAATGATAACTATTTTTATTTTGGGGTAAAATATTTCTTTCTTTCTTTCTTTTAAGATATGATAATTGAGAGCGATGGAGAAGAAATGTGATTGAGACACATGCACCTGACAAAAAAATGAGATAGTAGGGCTATAGCTTAAAACACACACACAAATTAAGAACAATATTAATTGTGTTTAACATTCTTTTTTTAAAGGCAAGCCATAACTTCAAACATTCATTCACAGAAAGCTATGCATTTTGCAGGTTTACTTTAATATTAAAGGGGGGGGATCAAATTTGCTGAAAATTTATTCACCCAGGCCATCTTAAGAAACTTGTAAGAAACAAATCCATCAATAAGGTATTTTAACTTTTTTAAACCATTACTTCTGGCCAAAATACCAGTTCATAATCCAAAATAACGCTTCCTACTGTGAAAAGGTCCATTTCCCATTATCTTTTAACATTAAAACTTCACTAACATTTTTGTTTACAACTGTTTTGGACTGTTTTCACTTGTAAACACTGCTTGATATGTGCATATTTCTCTCCTGATTCAGACAAGATGACTTTTTCACTGGAGAAAGCAATATTATGGATAGAGTATTTTAGCTGGAAGCAATGGTTTAAAGTTGAAAACATCTTAATGATGAATTTGTCTATTATAAACATGCAGCTTTTCACTAGATGTTAACTGTTGGACTGGACTGGAGTGGTGTGGATTACCATAATGTTTTTATCAGCTGTTTGGACTCTCATTCTGACGGCACCCATTCACTGCAGAGGATCCTTCTGTGATTGAATAAGTATGTCCACATGTATTTATTAAACAACTCAGGTAGAACATGTAAAAGTATCTATTCAACATGGGTGCAAAGACGTGTGTGTAAT